CTGTTCATTAGACATCACTGTCAAGTGGACTGTAATTCTTTTTATTTGTCTGCTACGTGGTATGAAGTTCATATAATTTGAGTTATAGAGAAAACACGTTGAAAATGAAAGTTAAACTTGATCATCAATTAATTAGTCATCATTGCATTGAAGCTCTAAAACATCACCATGTCAAAGTTTGTCTTTTCTTTTTCTTTTTCTTTTTCTTTTTCTTCTCCTTCTCTCTTTCATTATTCAACACTTGGCAGAAAATTAATTAGTTTTTCTATCAAACTGGCCACTCATAGACAGTGACTTGATTAAGGGAACCATCGAGTATAGCGGAAACTTTTAACATAAAAATGTTTTACAAATTAGGAGCGATGCTATTTATAGTTATTAGAGACGATCATCTTATAATACAACATAAACCGGGAAGACTAAGTATCGTGCTCACGTATTGGTCTTATCATTTTGCATCTCATCACATTTCACATAAATTGGTGGTCATCTTTAATGGAGAGAAGTCTAATTATTCAGAAATTAAAGGTAGTAAAAAATCATATTCAGCATGTTCGAATATCATTAGTAAATCCCAAACAAAAGTCTAAGGATCCGTTTGATTGTAAAAGTGGAATTTAGGTGGAAAGAAAATGAATTCCAGTTAATTGAATTGCCTAGAATTGTTTTCCTCGAAATTGATATTAATTGTGTTTGATTAGCAATATTGAAATTTTGGATCTTTTGATATTTGTTTGACTTTATTTTACATGAAATGGTTAGAATTTGTTACAATTAGGAATAAAATTTGTTTTCATTGCCAAGAAAAATTTAAAAAAGACAAAGTAAACTAGAAAATCAATTCCCTCCAAAATCAATTGAATTCCCAGCGTGTGAGCCACAACAAAAAAAAATAATTGTCAAGATAATTAAACTAACCAAACAAGTCAAAACCAAGAAGATGGAAATCAATTTCCAAGTTCCGTGGAAATGATGCCAAAGCAAACAGACACTAAAAATTATCATTTTCCAACTTTTCAAAAAGTACAACACAATCCAAAAACTTTCTCAAATTTTTCAGAAGTACCTTACTTTCTCATTTATCTTCCAAAAATTCTCCACTTATTATTTATCCCAAATAATATGAAATTGATCATATCCTATCTACAAGCATAGTTTTCAATATTTGTACATTAGTCTCTAGAAAATGAGCAATTTAATGTTGGTACAAAACTTCCCAAACTCTTAAAATTAGTTCTAGACTGTAAATTAGGAAGTTCTCTACATCTTTCATATCATTTCATAGACGAAGGTGCCCACTATATTTAAATACAAAACTTTCCAATGTGTGCTAACACACTACAATATCCATACTAGGAGATAATGATGAGCCTAAGTGAGGAACAAGCAGCATAAGAACATGTTTTGATTATTCATCATTCCAAAATAATGTACTATTTTCTTCAAAATTTACTTTTAGGTCAAATAAACCTTGTTTTTTTGTCTCAGTAAATCTTCATCTTCTTGACTTCACCTAAAATTTTCTTCTTAAAATTCAACTAAGTTTTCAAAATTTCAATTTTTATGTACTCTTTAAGCATGGGTGGATCTATAGAGGGGGCAGTGGGGTCACCTGCCCCACACTAAATTTTAAATCCAAAATTTTGCACAACATTTTTTAAGATTATGCACAAGATTTTCAAAAAAAAAATTTAATAGTTTTCAATTTTGCTCCCACAATTAAAATTTTGAGAAATTTAGCCCCCACAACTCTAAAATTCTAACTCTGCCCCTGCTTTTAAGTTATCTGTATATCTTCCACACACGAGGAAATAAATAAATGATTTATTTTGCAGCTTGTAAAAATACAAGTACTGAAGCAATTCACGTAACTAAGGCTTGTACCGGTTTTCGAAGAATGAAGTCACTGGTCATCTAGTGTTTAATGATTTAGACGAGGCACGGCAGCACCCGCACTATTGAAATGGTTCGTAGATCTTCCTTCCCCCTTGCTAATTACCAAGAACTTTATAAGTAGAAATAATACAATATCTACAATTAGAATTGCATAGGATACCATATAGATTAATTGAGCAGGCTCTTGTATCAGTTTTCTTGTACTGTTAACTACTATTGATTCTTGCTTTAACATTGTGAATTCTGATGTCTTTTTCACTCGCAGCTTCCTTCCAAGAACAAACTCATTATCATATCCGCATTTTTACTTTTCTGTACACTTGACAAGAAAATTTGATTCCAAATATACAAGGATAGACATCAATTTGGCAGAATCTTTTCGCACTAATCTTGGAGTTGCTCGATTTTTTCTGGAAATGGACCATGCTTTTGGGCCATGTTTACCTTGAACAAATAAAGTAAAGAACCAGACAGCCTTCTAAATCATCAATAAAGATAAAAAGAAAAGTATGAAAAAAAAAA